TCTCTCTCTCTCTCTCTCTCTCTCCCTCTCTCTCTCTTTGTGTGTGTGTTTGCGATGAGTGTGAAAGAGTGTGAACGATGGGAATGAGAGAGACGGTGGCGTATTGTGGCTTTCGAAGGCTAAAAAATCATCTGTTTTTCGTCTCATTGGTTGCTTATGGCCTGTAAAGACGTTCTAGTTGTGAAAACAAAACCGACCGCCCGCTCTGGCTCATGTTGTTAGCTCACGAGAGAATGAGGTGCGGATGGCTCTTGTTCCAATACCCAATAGGGAGTTCTTGAATTTTGTTTGTTTTTTAATTCAAAGATTCCCCACTAACTTGGCTCCGCCGTATCGGAAACGGACAGTAGGCCTAAATTAAGTCAAGCTTCTGCCTCTTAACGTCATAGAGCGTTTCGAAAGATAGCCAAATAATTCGCTGGAACATTGCTGAGAGCTTCTGTGTGTATGTGTGTGTTTGTGTTGGAGTGAGTTAGTATGTTCGTGTGTGTGTGTGTTTGTGTGTGTGTGTGTGTGTGTGTGTGTGTGTGTGTGTGTGTGTGTGTGTGTGTGTGTTTGTAGAACGGGGGAGGGGGAGTTGCTGTAAGTTAATGCAAACGGAACTTTCGTTGATGGCTTGTTTCTGGGTTATTTCTCATAGCTATTTTTATTATTATAATGCAGCTGGTTTGTACTCATTGAAAACTATCTTCTGGTTGTTATTTAGCCTCCCCCCCCCCCCCTCCTCACCTCTCGGCAATATTCCTCCCTCTTTTGAGGTACTCGATCTCTTACACACCTTTTATTTGGGAAGTCACGACTGTCCTTTTAGAATTATCTGTCGATATGAGACTGGGATTATAATGGCTCGACAAAGCTGTTTTCTGTTAGGTTGATACAGTTGTAATAAATATACACGCATATTATATTGGTGCTTTTCATTATCATCATACGCATTAGTTGCCTGTAACCGGCAAGTATGTTCTATATCTCATGCTCAAGGTGAACCCGTGAGCCTACTCATCTCATGTTCAGGTGAGAGGCTGCAGCCATGACGCAACTACTACAGATTTTCCACGTCGCTAGTGACAGCGAAAGAATAAACTGCACGAGCAGTGTTTGGGTTATGTAATAATATATAGGCCGTGGGCCTACGTGGAAACGCTAGGCACTGAGTGGATGCTTCGTTGAAGTCAGGCTGGTCAGATCTGATCTTTTCTTTTAAAAACTTAATACCCC